GGCGTTCTTGGTTGTCGAGGAGGCGGCGCGCAGAAGGAGGGTAAGGCCAACATGGTCGCGACTGTTGACATCGATTCGAGAGAGTGCGCCGTTGGGCTGTTTGCGCGACTTGCCCGACGGACGGGGCGATGTACCGAGACTGCCAGCACCGCCGGCTTGGCCTGGGGTTATGTTGCTGCTCCGGCCAGCCGGTTGGGGGCCGTGGGCAGCGAGGGAGAGGAGGCGTCGAAATTTTTCGACATCGTCTTCCCAATAGTATTTCCAAAGGAGATGCGTCTGCGTCATTAGTAGCCGGATGGGCGGCGGGAAGTCCCTCGGACACGCTTCGATGGCACCTCGCTGTGATTCGCACTGGATCACGGCTTGTTTAAAGGTGCGTTATGAAGCGTAGGAAAGACGTCCACCGGAAAGGATAACGGTCGAGCTCTTTCGGGTGTCCCAGTCACAGTGTGTGTGTGTGTGTGTGTCGCGGGTTTGTGAGGGTGGCGACTTGGCTGTTGGGCGATTGGATTGTCGGACGGGTTCTTGTGTTTCTCAGGGGCGACGACGTGTGGAAGAAGCTAGCGAAGGGCAAAGCGATATGGTTGGTGCGGTGTGTTCCTCCTAGAAAGAAGTGGAAGTTGGAGATGAGATGCCACAAGTTGCGGAGGTGGAGGAGCGCGGGAGATAAAAGCAAGCAGTGTAGGCCGGAGGCGGGTAGGAGCACCGATCGGATCTCCCCCTTCAGCCAGAGGTCGTCGCCAACTGTTCCATGTCAGTGTCACTGTCAAGGCCATACAACAATACTAAAATGGAACCAAAGTGGAAGGTAGCCAGCCCCCCGCCCGCTCTGGACATGGCGTTCTGTGCACAACCAATCACAGCCCTCCATTGACACTCATGCGCGATCGACGGGATGACAGATAAGATAAGCGAGCAGAGTTCCCCTCCATCCGTCATCAACAAGTCTGAATCTGGGCTGGAGGTTGATGATGGGAGGCACATGCTCGTGTAACGGATGTAACTGGATCTTACATTGGATCTGGTGATAGGAAGGGAAGTTACTCTGTTGTCTTTGATCGCTTCAAAGGGAATGACATGGATGGGGTTGATGGACCGAGGGACCCAACTGGTGGTTATAAAGCCCCGCCAGTTGCTAAGTGGAAGTCAGTGTATCCGTAGAGGTTCGTGCGCAGATCCCATAAAGTGTGGAAGCACATGTCAAAGAAGATGTACAGGAATGTCAGTCACCGCGGCTCAAATAGAGCTTCTTCATGTTCTCGCCTTCCTTGAGGGCCTACCCTATCGTCGAGGGAGCTCAGCATGCAAACGAGAAAGACAAGACCCCAATTCCCATAGTACCGCAGTACACTACCTAGTAGAGATGCGCCATGCCCCTGGAAGACGGAAGGGTCTGGGCTTCGTAGGACGGGAGTATGTAGGGAAGAGCTCCGATGCCGCTTCCAGTTAGCGACCCGTTAAAGACAGAAGCAAAGAGTCACTGTGGAGGTCCTGAAGCGCTGAGGAGCATCCCCAACCCAAGCATAAACAGCCGCCAGATCCGGCCATGGTAGGCTGACTGTTATCCACTTGGACGCTACCTCTATCGATCCGGCCTTGACTCCCCGGGTCCGGACCTTCAACGAATTCGCCAAGTGACGACAGAGGCACTTTGTTTAGTGTACCTATTCTAGTTTTTTTTTTCCCTCCCATCTCTTCCACTTCAACCTTGGTTTGATTGCGCCCCTTTTCTTCTGGATCGTCTGTTCTTGGTTCGATATACATAGTTCAAAATGGCGTCCGAGCAAGCCCCCCTTCCTTTTGGCTACACCTTCGCGGCCGGTAAGTCCTGTCCCTCTCCGATTTTGAAGCTTCCACGAACTCCGGCGCGCAATTGACACTCGTGGCGCAAACACCATGGACCAATGCTAACCGTGAATTCTCGTCCTTAGGTGCCATCGCTGGTGTCTCTGAAGCAGGTCTCCCTCCGAAAATGTACCCGAATCGCTCATCTGTGTTGTGTAACTAACCAGAACCTTGCGCTGGCTGGTCTTTAGATTTTGGTTATGTACGTTTCGAATGCCCCGCCGCCGGTGCCCCCAGTGGTCGCGTGCTCTTTGCCATAAGCTCCCAGTACTAACACATAATGTCACAACAGGTATCCTCTTGATGTCCTGAAGACCAGAATGTGAGCGCAACCACCTGCCATATCTCGACGACACCTCGAGCACCTATCGCGGCCACCGCGCCCCAATGCGCTTCTCCCGAAGCTAACCACATACACCGCCAGCCAACTTCAGACCGGCAAGCCCACCGCGGGCGCCGACCACTACAATGGCATGCTTGACTGCTTCAAGAAGATCGTCAAGAACGAGGGGTATGCTTTTTGTTCCACAGAGCTTGGGTTGTATGGCGCGAGTTGACATCTTTCTTCCATAGCCCCTCCCGCCTTTACCGCGGTATCACTGCCCCCATCTTGATGGAGGCTCCCAAGCGTGCCACCAAGTTCGCCGCCAACGACAAGTGGGGCAAGTTCTACCGCGACCTCTTCGGCCAGCAGCAGATGACCCAAGGTCTTTCCGTCCTTACCGGTGCCTCCGCCGGTGCCACCGAGGCCTTCATCGTCGTCCCCTTCGAGCTCGTCAAGATCCGTCTCCAAGACAAGGCCTCGGCCGGCAAGTACAACGGCATGGTTGATGTCGTCGTCAAGACGGTGCGCAACGAGGGTCTCCTCGCCATGTACAACGGTCTCGAGTCGACCCTCTGGCGCCACATCCTTTGGAACGCCGGTTACTTTGGCTGCATCTTCCAGGTCCGCCAGCTCATCCCCAAGGCCGAGACCAAGAAGGGCCAGACCATCAATGATATCATTGCCGGTACCGTTGGTGGTACTGTCGGTACCATCTTCAACACCCCCATGGACGTCGTCAAGAGCCGTATCCAGAACACCATCAAGGTGCCCGGCCAGGTGCCCAAGTACAATTGGGCCTGGCCCGCCGTCCTGACCGTCTTCAAGGAGGAAGGTTTCGGCGCTCTTTACAAGGGCTTCATCCCCAAGGTCCTCAGACTCGGCCCGGGTGGTGGTATCCTCCTCGTGGTTTACACCGGTGTTATGGATATGTTTCGCAAGATGAGAGATGAGCGCCTTGGCAAGCAGCTTTAAGCAATCATTCAGGAAAAATGACAAAAAATGAGGGCAGAGTGCCCAGCAGGCCTCTTGAAGCGAATTGAATATTTTTGTGGGGGGAAATGATGAAACTAAAACATTGCATGGCTCACACTAACTTCAGACCTATATGTATATATCTCTAGCTTGCCATCGCTTGGGTATGTGGGTATGATATCGAGGGATTCTACGACTAGCAAGAAAGCGTCATAGATTGGCTTCTTTGGTTTCTTCATTTTCTTCGGTTCGGGATGGCCAGCCAAAAGCAATGAAAGAAGTATGTATCACTGGACAACATCTGAGTTTGCATAGTAAAGCATAATCACAGGCACAAGATAGCCCGAAACCTGTGAAAGTGAAAAATCTGCTTGGCCTTTAAAGTCCCACGCAGCACAACATGTCTACTGACCCCCAGCATTATCTACCATACTTCCGCGGTCATTAGGTTGAACTGCAAGGCAGTCTAAATTTACCTTGATCAATCTCATCTGTCCATTACACCGTTTCGTTTCCCTTAGCTTGTTAGTTATTGCCTTCATGCAACATCTAGCGACACCTTCTTGCCCGCAAACACTTTTAATGAAATGACAGTCTATCACGTAAGGATATACATCCCAAGGCTTGAATCTATTTGTTCAAGTTCCAAAAACCAATACTTTGTCCTTTGCGTGGGTAAAATATCAGCAGTTTTTCTTTTTTTTTTTTTTTCTTTTTTTTTTTTTTTTTCTTTTTTTTTTTTTTTTTGTTTTTTTTTTTTTTTTCATCTGCGTCCTCTCCTGGAATTATGAAGAGGCAGAAGCCTGAAATTTGAAAACAGCACGAAAATTACAAAGACTCCCGGCTATGAAAATAGTCAAGTAGAGGTATATTCGCTACCTAGAGGCAGACGCCGTGGGGGTTATGTACGTATTACCTGTATAGGTAATAACATGGAGGAATGTTGTATGCAAGAAATGGAAGGAGATGAACTTATACTCAGATTGCATTTGCTCTTGTACATAGAAGTAGGTTGGAGATAGCCAGCCAATACTTGGAATCTGGATGGGGTGGGTAGGCGACTTGTCTAGATGATGGGACGCAACTTGATGAATGTGTGCCTTCTTTCCATTTGGGTGATAACTCATGATGAATTCGGATTGGTTAATGTCAGGTCTTACTCTATGGAAACAGCGGACTCGGATAGTTGTGCGCTATGTGCGTAATCTTTTTATATGTGATCACTAGTGTAGATTACGATTCAAGTCTATGCAAACTATGTGAAATCAACTTCGTAAATAGTAAGTTTGAATGAAGGAGGAGACGAGGTCTTTAGTAGGTGTGGATGAGTACACATTTCTTTTGTGGTTTGGTATTTGTGAGGTCGAACAAGTGAGTAGCGAGCAGAGCATGGTGTAGTGAGCATGGTGTAGTGAGCATGGTGTAGTGAGCATGGTGTAGTGAGCATGGTGTAGTGAGCGTGGTGGTTGAGGGTGTATGGTATGACAAGTTGTATTCCTTTTCCCTTTTGTTTGTCTTTTCTTCTTCTTTTTTTTTCTTTACTTCCCTTGTTTTTCCTTCCTGTTGTGCTCTCTTTCCTGTCTTTAGACTTTATCTTGTGTCTGTTTTTCCTTTCTGTCGCGTTGTCTTTTCCTGCTCTTAGATATTGTCTTGTGTCTTTCTTTTGTTTTCTTTCCGCCGTTTCCTTCTTCCTTACAACTTTTCCTTGTGGTGATTTCGGAGACGTATCTCTAGGGCCTTTCTCTCAGCGAGTTATTCTTGGACGTTTGATGCTCCTGTTCTTATTCAGGTCCAGAGGAAGATGCCACTACTAAACCTAGTAACTAAAGCTGCGTAGGTGACCGAATGCTCAGGATCGTGTCAGAGTCTGAAAGTTGATTGAGCCTGGTCTGTCTGAGACTCTCTGCTTAGGTTGGAATCAGAAACATCCTTATGTTCGCAAAGAGACCGCTATCTTTATCTACTCTATCTTCAGTCCTCCTTCCTGATGTGCTATATGACAATGATGGTGTGCTTCCCGTCCTTGAATTCGGCGCAAGGTAAGGGTGGCTTCTCTGGTTCCCGTCTAACGGACAATATTTTTTCTACCTGATCATCGAGGTAAACCAAAACCGTTCCAATTCGCTCAAATACACCTTGCTGCTCGTCAACCACCTTGAACAGTAGCAATTTCATCGCGAAATCTTCGTTCCCAGCGTGTCCAACCATGGAAAAGATCCGGCCTTCAACATTTTCGTAGTCAACGCTGCCCTCCGAGATATCGAAGATCACATGAGGTGACATTCGACCATTATGAGGCGTAGGCGCGGCCGCTACACTGACTCCCTCCAAACACAAATCAAAGGCCGCCTCATGCTCCCTCACTCTGATAAGCTTGGTCTCTAAAAGAACTCCGCGCAGGCGTAACCAGCCAGCCGTTACACCACCCGTCTTGTCGGGCGTCGCGTAGCTGAGGTGCACATCCTCAATTTCGAACAGACAGCCATCTTGAGGCCACGTAGACGGCCAGATAACACCATCAATTGATGCCCAGGACCAGGAAGGAGCCCGGTACACACCCGGCCTTAGTCCGGGCCCCACTGTAGATTTTGCCCAAAGTAATTGAGCCTCGAGATCGGTGCGCCACATGCCAGCTACGTAGGTATCTTGTAGCAATGATTCGAATCTTTTCGCTACTCCCGAGCAGGCAATTAGTTTATCTTCAAAATGAGAAATGTCGCATTCTGTGTAGTTCCATATAATCCGATTCCATAAGAGCCGTGCCATTGGCAGTTCTGAATTGACAAAATAACCCAATTGATTACCCTGATCTCGCTCAAGATTGAAGGATTTAAATCGCACAAGTTCAGATGCCGCAAGTTCCGGATGAAGCCCGTGAGGAAACACTTCTGCCGCGTCTCTTTCACAGCACTCCCACATTAATTGGCGTTTTCCGAAATGCAGGACGCGAGGGGCTAGGATGCGTTCTTGGAGGACCCAGGCACGGCTGTTTACCAATGCGTTGCTAACCTGCCGCACCCAAAAGTCACAATTATACACATAGAACTGGGCCGGAATCACCCCACCAATTTCATCGCTGACGATATCCAGGGTAAGTGTTTTCGGATTGATGGATTGAGGATCTCGGACGTTAAATAGCGGCCTTGAACAGCTTCGGGCGTCTGCTGCGGATATGTTGCAGTAAGAGTAAGAGTATACTCTTTCCATGAGAGATGCTTCATGCGCCCAGTCGGTTTTGTCGTCCTTGTCTTGGAATATGCAGAGTGAATCGATCCACAGATACTGCACTCCAAGTGAGCGCGCAACTAAGATGGTATCCCGAAATAATCGGGGCATTGAACCCAAGGGTATCCCCTTCATGAGCTGAGGGTATTTATGTTTGTTCAACACAAAGTCCTCGTCAACTTGCCCCCAACGATGAGTAACTGTAGCGTATGGTCCGGCTGGCTTCGTGTCCTTGGTCTCGATGAGCCGCACCTCTGTTGATTCACCGAGGTCCAAGAGTCTTGTCGGATACCAGCCGGTATCACTTCTAGAATATCTGCATTGCTTATGGTTGTCCACGCAGTTACCAACCCAACTTTTTGCCAGACGCTGGGCCCTTGGAGACCACGTGCTTGTTTCAAGCGTAGGAACGGCATAGGGCTTCTCTTTTACACGGAGGGATATTAGCATTGTTTTCAGACAGAGTAGGTCTAACGTAAGGCTGGCTTCCTGTCTACAGTCTACTGCTTATTACGAATGATAATGAACTCGGCTTCTATTTACCTTGGATGAGATCTAACACAAACTGATATTCGCGAGAAAGGTCCTCCGCGAAAAAGGCAGGCGCACGATCGCTAGTCTCGGGTATACAGAGGATCCTGAACCTGAATGTGAAGCACTGACAGTCTTGATGTCTCCGATAGTTCAAAATTAATTGAAATGCCGCGTTTCCGTAAGCATTGGGTATCTTTCCGGTCGCTATTTTCTGCCAAAGGATGTCCAAGCTCCGCTTGTCCGCTTCAGGAATACACAACAAAACCCACGAACAAATATGGCATTTCTGGTTTGCTGAATCCTTCAAACCATTCCATGTCCGATGGTGATCCTCAACGTACTCTCCATTGGGCCCGTTATCTGATATCGGCTGGAAAAGGTGTCCCTCATCCTGATTCTTTGCGATCCGGAAATGGCTGATGGCAGCTTGCAGTGTCGTCTGGCACACGGAGCAGATCATTTTCGCCGTGATGTTTCGGGAGTCCTTCGGGAACAGAGGGTCGCAAAAGAGGAAGTTGACGAAGCTCGCGATATGAATGAGTTCGCGCTGGTAAGGTTGGGGAATATGATGGAGAGGAGGAGGACGACGAGAAGAAGAGGGAAGGGGGAAAATGCAAACCTGGGGAAGATTATCTGGCAGGCAGCAAGGCGTCCTGCTCCTTCCTCATGAACACGGGAAAGCACTAGGCTCTCGAATCAGCGGAAGCCACACAGCTCAGCCCAGCCCGGCCTGCTTCTCTGCAGTCATCACTGCTATCATCCCCCGCACCAGCTGCGCCTTCCAGGTTTGGCAAATACACCAACCACAATTATCATCGGATCATAATCCCCGCCACAACACCATTAAGACTAGAAGGTCGCAACCACCACGCAACCTCGACGACACAGCAAACCCAGGAAACGAGGAGGGAAAAACAAGACTACCGCAAAATGGCAAAATGACAGGAAAAAAAAAAAAGAAGAGACCAAAACAAAGGAACAGAGAACGACAAAATTACAAAGCCCCTTTAGAACTTCCACAGCAAAAGGAAAGTTCCCTCCCGAAAAAAAAGTTGGGATTGCCAGGAATCGAACCTGGGTCCTCTCGGATCGTTGTGTTCGTCCACTCAAAGTGAGTGAACAAGAACCACAACGAGAAGTACTGACCACTATACTACAATCCCATAAAGCTTGACTACTGCTCTCAAATGCAGCACCTATATACTAACGTATTCCATTTCTCGGGGTACCTGTCACTGCAACCACGGCACGACTTCCACCTTTGCGGCGGCTTTCAAGATCAGAAAGAAAGGAAATAACTACCTACCATGCCAACTTCTCGATTAGGTCGGACAACGTGTTCATTTGGGTTTCATTCAAAGTATCCATGTATGAAGGGAACCGATGCGATGCAGTGAGGTAATGGCATTGCAACGGTACAGTAATAAATGGTTCGCGACCTAGACCAAGGCTCGAGATACGACATGAGAGATGAGAGCATCCATTCCAACTTCACATTGGAATTTCAACCCGTCAACCCGTCAACCCGTCAACACGCAACACAATGGTGTCTTGGGTGTACTGGCGGGGTATTTAACCTGGCTGTCTTTCTGGTTTTTGATTCTTTGTCTTTCAGTTCCTTTCCTCGAATCAATCAACCACCCTCGTTCTCCATCGAACCTTCCTACCGTGAGCACCGCAGCCCGGCTGCAGCATCCATCCACCCATAGCTCTCATGATCTCATCTTACTACAAAAGTTTCGAAAAAAAAAAAAAAAAAAAAAAAAAAAAAAAAAAAAAAAAAAAAAAAAAAAAAACCGAAAGTTCACGGAATTGTAGTATCCAGGTATCTTATTTCATTTCTCTCATCAAACAACACCAACAGTGACACCAAGGAGGAGCTCTGGAGGCTTTTTGCTCGGCATTTTGCTCGACAGAGCCCTATCATTCATTGCTGCCGCCGACGGAACGGCCTTCTCCCCCCTTCCAATCTCCCATCACCCCAAACACCGGGTGAACTCTCCAGGTATGTATAGTAGGTATGTATAGAATGTAAACCACCTCTTTCTCTTCCTCTCCCGTAATGAGTAATATTTAATACTTCGGTTCCTTTTTTTTTCCGACTCCCCATCCATTCCTCAGACGCAAACTACACCACCTTGATCCCTTTGTTCCTTTACTCCTGTACAGTCTTGGCGTGCTACAACATCGAGCATCGATACTTCCCTTCGGCTCCATTTTAGGTTGCCCACCATTTGCAGCAGTTTTCCGCGGTGGCTCCATTTGTTCCTTTTGTTCCTTCTGTGCCTGCCTCTACTTATGTTATTGCTCATGATTTTCCTGCTGTTCCTGCCCCATCCCCTTCCTCCCAAACCAACCACCTCTCTCCCACTGGCCCTGCACATACAACGCGTCATTCCTGACTTGATCATCCGTGATGCCCTGCAGCAGGGTCTCGAGACGCTTAAAGTCAATGGGCTTGAGGATCCAGCCGTCGAAGCCGGCGTCTACGTACGTGTCCTTTTCTTGCTCGACCAGGGAGGCGCTCACAGCAAAGATGGGGACGCGGCCGTGGTCGGAGGCGATGTCGGAGAGCTGTTGGCCGCTGCCGTCCCGGTTGGATTTCTCAAAGGCGCGAATCATCTTGGTACTAGTAAGACCGTCGACAATTGGCATCTGAAAAGAAGGAAAAGAGGAATGTTAGTGGCGAGAAAAGTAAAAAGAAAAGGGGATGGGATGAAGAAAAAAATAAAAAAATGCAACATACCTGCATATCCATCAGGACGACGTCAAACACCACGGGCTTGTCTTCATACACTGCTGCGCAATCCTCGCCGTTCAAGGCGTGAGTAACTTTGTACCCAGCCTTCTCGAGTCTCTTGCGCAACACCTTGACGTTGATGGGGTCATCTTCGGCAACCAGAACTTGCAGCTTGTTGTTTGTTGTTGAGGGTTCTTTGGCGGGCGCGGGCGGTGGGGCGGGCGTAACGGGCACCGATGGTTGTGATGACACAGACTGTTGCTCCTTGACAGCAGGTGATGCTGCTTTCGCCTTATCCGCAACGGCATCCTTAATTTCAAAGAGCACCTTTGACGTGCTCTGCGGTGGGACCACAGGCTTGTCGAACATTTCGTCTGGCAGCTTCACCGGCTTGATGGGAACCCTACTGTCAGTTACATACTGCACCCCTTGGGCTGCTGGTGCTGGCTCAGAAGGTCCGGGTGCAACTTCCGTCGTTGGTTTCTCGAAAGGTAAATCCTTCTTAGTGTTCGGCGACGAAACCGACCGCGTAGGAACATCTGGTCGCTTTCGGCTCCCTGGACTGACCGACCGCCCCTTGGAGGATCCGAGAAGACTGGAAGATGGGTTGTAGTAGGGACCCCGTGAGTTCCTCCTTTGCCGAGCGACGCTTTCTGGCTCGGGCTCGCCGAGTGTGAGAGGGTTTTGGATGGCGTCAATGAGCCTGTCCGCATCACTGAGCGCGCTTCGTCCGCTGCCTTTGCTTGTGATGCTTAGACTGTCATCATAGCTCTTCTTGGACGCCAGCGAGCCAGTCGCGTTGTTGACAGACCATGAGCTGCCGTTGTTGCGGTCGACCAGCATCACTTCGCCGTCCTGCATATGGGTCACAGAGGCAGCGGAGGCCGAGGCGGTACCAGATCCGAGGGATAGCTGCGCGGTGTTGCCACTGCTAGCCCCCACAGTATCTCGGCTTGTTTCCTCCTCGGGAAGGTCGAAGGGCAATTGGATCACAAATCTGGATCCCTTCCCAACCTCGGACTTCAGCCGGAGCTGCCCATCCATGTTTCGCAGAATTCTTGCGACAACTGCAAGACCCAGGCCAAGCGCTTTACCGCTTTGCGAATTGTCGTCGTCAGATGATTCGGATCCAATGTCCGTGTCAACTTGTTCAAGCTCTCTGAAGAGCGCATCCAGCTGCGCGTTGCTCATGCCCTGGCCGGAGTCCTGGACCACGATATCGATGCGCGCTCGGTTGTCCTGTACTTCCGCCACGTATAGCTCAACCCTGACAGACCCTTCCGACGTATGTTTGACGGCGTTTGCTGTGACGTTGGCGACCGCCTGTCGGACTCGTCTTTGGTCTCCGTGTACGAAACGAGGGAGCCCGGGGTGCTCAATGACCTCGTACGTGATGCCCTTGCGCTTTGCATCATGCCGGAAAGGCTCCGTAGCTTCACGTATACACGCAAGCAGATCGAAAACCTCGTCCTTGATTAGATCCTTCCCTTCTTCTGTCTTGGTCAGATCAAGCAAGTCGTTGATAACGTAGATCAAGGACTTTGAGGCTGAATGCGACCTTGCAAGATTGTCCCTGGTCTCCTGGTCAAGGGAACCTTCTAGTGCAATCTCCAGGTAGTTGATTATGGCGTTGAGTGGCGTGCGCACTTCGTGTGCTGAGTTTGCGAGTAGTAAACGAGTAAGACGGCTGCTCCGCAGGGCTGCCTCCTTTTGCCTCCAAACCTCGATAAACTTTCCGTAGACCAAGCAAAGCACTGCCGCGGTCTCGACTTCCTCCTCTGACCATTCGCGAGATTTGCCAATAACCGTCTCGTACCAGACCTTGAAACTCTTTCTGGGCTCCAGGTACGCGGCAGAACCAGCTTGGATGTTTTTTTCGTGTGGGTTACCCGCCCACTTCACTTCCCTCACCTGGCCCTTGCGGAACAGGACGATAAAGTCGTTCCCACCGACGCTCAAGGGCACATAGAGAAGGCCGGCGATGACTTGAAATCCTGGTGGGTAACGAAGATCGGGAAAGTCGATCTTGATGTCTTGCGAGGTGACCACGGAAGAAAACTTGCGCAGCCGCAGATACTCTAGCATAGCCAGTGCTTCCTGTGACTGCTCGATCTTTCCCAAGATTTTGGTCTCTTCACGTATCGAAAGCATTCCGAAATCGGCATTGAATAGCTTGAGCAAGTCGTCCGAAGAGGCGATTATATAGCCTGACGGGTTCTTGTCGGTGGGTACTGTGTTGATAAGCTTGCGGGCTTGAAGACGAGAAGCATACGATAAACGCTCTATGTTTCTTGAGGCGGTGTCGCCAATAAGCCGGCACATTTTTCGTATGGGAAACGAGACTCTCATCCCCTTGGGCCCGTAGGAATGGCACGAAACCAGACCCCAAAGGTCGCCAAAGGCGTTGATCGAGATGGACATGGAAGAGCGCACTGCCATGTTAGCAAGATACTTCAAGTGGATTGGCGACATTGCACGAAGGTAAGAGTGCGTCATGTCCAACGGGGTCTCCAAATCTTCGGGCGTTCGGCAAACGATTCGTGCGCTCTCGACATCTCGATCGTACAGTAATCGTACCTTGTTGAGCTTGTAAAGCTCGCGCGCCTGGCTGGGTATGTCCGTGGCCGGGAAGTGCAGTCCCTTGTACAAATCCCTCGTTTGCATCGGATCGACAAGCTCAGTGACGACCTTGCCGTTGAACGAGGAATCAAACTGGTAAATCATAACCCGGTGGAAGCCCGTCAACTCCTTGACAATGCCGACCAAGATCTTGAGAAACGTTTCCAGATTGGGAGCGTTTGCCAGCTGTTCCTGTACTTGGCTCATGATATCAAACACTTGCATTGCTCCTGCCTCGCCTCTTCGCCTACGCGCACTGCGTAAGACTCGTAATGGCTTGCTCGAGATCGCTGTGCTTTCAGTGAGCTCTTCGGTTGTAGGGTTCGACTGTAAAGTATCTTCGGGAATGTCTGGATAGTCCTCCTCAGGAGGTCGCAAAGGGTAATCGTGGTCGTCGTCGAGTTCAAACTCGCAGATAGTCAGTTCCGGGCGTGACGGGTGTACATGGATTGCGCACCATAGCCTGACGGAAGTTTTGGCTTTGGGGAGTCGGATGGAGAGACTAAAAACCTCGGGGCCGTTGATAGCCGGATCCGAGTCCTCATCCCGAATGAAATCGATGTGGTCCAGTAGATTCTCAGACTGCTCATCAGTGAAGATATCGAGGAAGTTGTTCATTCGGAAGAGCTCTTGCGGGGTGTAGCCAATGATTCTCTTGGAGTTTTCGCTCACAAATCGCACAATGAAGCGGCCGTCTCGTTCTTCCTGGATAACAACCATTAACCCGAAGCCCTGTACAGCGCCCGGCGTATCTGTCCCCTAGTTAGCATTGGTTATGAGCGTTGAGGATATAGAGAGGGGGGACTAACGAATTGGTTCATCTTCGCACCGTTGTAGCTGCCCATCGCGACCTGTAATCACAGCATGGCCCTCGTCGGTCACGATATGCTTGAAGCGAGGCGCAAAATGAGTTTCAGGAAGAGCGTCAAGAGACTCCCTGCCAGAAGACGAAGATGCCCCGATCGTGCCCAGGTCACCGCCGTCTCCGCTGCCGTCTGCGCCGCCGTCGGACTCTTCCTCGGACGAATCGCCCAAGACGAGTTCTATAGGCCGTCCCTTCCCATATCGATCGGCATCGGCCTGGACACTGGACAGGGAACCTGTCATGGCATTCATGCGGCGCTTGTGTCGCATAGTGCCCGCGGACGATGAACTGAAAACGGAGCTGCCATCAGCTTGTGAGACAGATGACTGACTCTGACTGACTGTGGGCCTACTTTCGACGTCGATGGCGCCTGATTTGGCAGTCGGAACGGTCGACGCATGCGGACGAGTGGGAGTCGCGGTATTCCCGGCGCCTGCCGCGGCGGTCGACCTTCCGCCTAGTGAAGTCCCATAACCCTCGGACAGAGAAATTCTACGACGCGCGCGAATGTCATCGTTGACTGGTGGTGTGGCGGCTAGGTCGACGCTAATGACGGAACGAATAGGAAAGACGCGGTCTTCGGGGTCTTGTACGCTTCCGTGGCCCAGTTGTCGATCTGAGGATGCGCTCCATGATGACAGGTTGGTCGGAGAAGTAATCGCCGAGGAGCCGCCATCGGCAGTCGCTGAGCTATTGGAGGCATCATTGGCATGGAGGTCCGTTGCCAAGGCAGTGTTGTCGATGAAGTCCTGGACTTTGATGTTGTTTGCGGCCTGTTGGTCGGGGGTCTGGTAGCTGTTTCCTAGTTGACCATGACCCTCGGCAGTCGGGGTTGTGTCTTGAGTGTGGTCCATGCCGGTCGCCGTGTCCTGTACCTGCGCCAGTACCTATGTCTGTGCTTGTGCCGGTGCCTGTGCCTGCCGAAGCCAACTCCGTGTCCCCGAGACCCCGGGGGTCTCTTTGTGATGTTGGGTCCCTCCAAGCTTGTGACCTCTCGCAGTCAGGCTGTCAATATGGCATCCGCGTGTGACGTTGGTTTGCGCTGGTCGTGTAAATGTGTTGTTTAGGAAGCTGTGTGATATCCAGACCGGAGTGGAAGGCTGAAGCTCTTGTTTTTTTTTTTCTTCTGTGAAACTTTCTGGTTGTTCCCTTAAATGTCCCTCGTATCGATCTGGAAGGAGAGTCGTGATGGGGGCGATCTCTTCACTTTGGGCGCAAAGCGCATATATTAGCGCCCAAACGGACTCGCAAGGTCTAAGAGAATGAATGCTTGGTACAAGTCGATGCAGAATGGTATGTCCTGCGAGGCACTGGGGAACACCACCACCTGAGACAGAGGAAAGACAGAACACACCTCAGGGCCTGGGAATGAGCACGGATCCGCGGTACGTAAGAGGTAGGTAGCTCGATAGTGTAGGTTAAAAAAAAGTAGAGAGTTCGACTCAGGGCCAGGGTCACTCCGGAGAGGGTCAGGATCAAAACTCGGACTGTGAGCTATAACGGCCAAGGAGTGCCAGCCAGGTGGTGAATCACAAAGGAATTTGAGATGGAGGGGAGGGGCGCAAGAAAAGATAGTGTACACTAGACGAGAGAGAGGGTAGGTAGTGTAGAGAGAGATGGATGTAAGTGCCGTAGCGGCACCGTAGCGGCGAAAAGCAGACTAGGATGAGCAGACGAGGTAGCTGTAGCTACTGTGGTCGCAATAGGGTCAAGTCAGAAGTGGAAAGAGAGCGGCGGCAAGAGTCTAGACGGGCGACACGGAACAGAATGCAGCCGGAGGAGGAGAAGTCGAGGGTCCTCGAGGAGGATGTTCCTGGGGCGTCGCATCCACAATTTCCACTTTGTCTCACGGGGCTGAATGGTGTGGTCAAGGGCGAACGTGGGACAGGCCGGCGAGGTGTGTTCCGGGAAAGTTGGACGGAGTGGGTGAGTGATGGGAGTATGCCGGTCTAGCAAGGCAGTCTAAACCGGAGCTGGAGGGGGGCGATCAATAATTGTGTGGAGGACGGATGGAGGCATGCAGATCTAGGAAAAGCCCATCTGTCTGGCTGCTTGATCAACATGGGATTTCTGTTGCGGATGTCTTGGTGGTCACAGCCCGCCATTCCAGGGAGCAAGAGTCCTGGCCAGCGTGCGCGTACAGCGCTAGAGGTAGGTACCGACCTTGGGTAGGCTCAGTAGGGTAGGGTAGGGTGCGACAACGTGGCGACCAAGGAGAGGCAAACAGCGAATAAAATGTACAGACAATAACGGTCAATGGATGAAAGTGTAGTGAGGTGTAGCGTGTGTGCAATGCGACAATGAAAGCGCACCACCAGAACCTTGTATAGTACAACACACAGCTGAGCCCAAACCATAGGTAGGTGTACGACCCTGAAAGGGAAGGGTTTTGTTTGGGTACCTAGACAGATGAGACAGTCTCAGAGAGATGATGGACGGCCAAGCCCGCCCGTCTGAGTTGGTAGCTGAGAGCCAAAGAAGAAAAGAATCGACCTAGTAGAGTTGAGTTCAGGTTGAGTTGCCAATTGTCCACCTCGACTCACCTCTGCTACTACTATATTGTATACCCGGTCTCTGGTGTTGTTGCCCCTCTGTGAATATCACTCCTAGTGTACCTATCCAGCCTTGCCAGCATAACTGAAACCACGCTTTGGGTTCCATTCGGGAGAGTGCACTGCTGTCCAACCCGCCATCGTACGCTTCATTTTTTTGTAGCAGCGATGTTGCCAAGACGCGCGGCAAAAGGCCATCCATCGGACGACCGGGGCCGATGTTGACCCGACTTGGGTAACCGCCACCCCCGTCACCGCTAAGTTAGTTTCCTACCTAGGTAAGTAGACTAGACTACCTACCTAGTGTACCTACTTATTGGAGTCCGGTATGGAACGAACCGAGTTTCTGGGGCTTATCGACGATCAAGAGTTCCAGACTCTTGTCCAATTGACTGGTTCATAGGGCAAATGAGTTGCTGATGTTAACGGCAATGATGTACAGGCACATGTTCGATTTGCCACTCGGCCTTGTCACCGCCACAGTCCGCTGGCGCGTAGTAACTGATTGAAGCTGTTCAGCCACACTCGGGCAAGTGACTCCTCGATACTGTAGCACATGTGCTCAAGTCAGGACCCGGCTTCGCGTTTGCTTGGACTGTTTGAGGTTCCAATATTTCTACAGTCACTAGTACACTAGACTAGTGATTTTTCGTTCCTGAAAGGGCCGGGGGAACCATCTATTGTCCAGGGCACTGCGGGTGAAAGGTACCCTACCTACCTACCTAGGTAAGCGAGGCAGCTCGCCTGTAGCGTACACTACACAAAACCCCACCCCAACCATAACTTTTGTTTTTTTTCCGCCCCAAATCCATCATCTCTCACAAGACCTTGAGGCAGAATTACCTCTAGGTTTCTCCCATTTTATTCACTAATATGGAGGCTCCCTGTCCGCGCTATAACTGTCGCTTCAAAGGGACCACTGTGTACCACTAAAATCCGAAACACAAAGCAAAAACTCTACCCTAAACCTCCATTAGGCGTAACCAGTGTAGATCAGTGGCAAAAAGACAAGTCTCTACAGAAAACTAGTAGCACTCATACCAGCAGGAAATCCTAGTTTTCTGTAGGCTGGAAATAGTGTATGTAGTGTACTGCATAGTATGACACTCGGGTAACTTTTCTTTCTCCGGCAAAGGTGTACACGACACTACCACGAGACTGCAGGACATTTTTAGCAGGCGCTCTTATGAGGTCATCAATTTCTACACTTAGACTACTAGTGTACACAGTAAATAGCGACGTTTTGCCCTGGGCTTGTGACATGACGTCATCCTTGTCCCGCAAAGTTCAAGGGCGCAACGGGCCGGTGTTACACGGAGTCAGTCCAGGGTCAGCTGTTACTAGCGACAGCCCCGGGAGAGGGCCCGGTGCGGACTGCGTAGGGGTACCACTACCGCGTATGCACTCCGACGAGGGTCCGACGGGCATTTCCTGTTATTCCCACTTGTGTTTGTTCCTGGCACACACAGCCTGAGTCGGACATCCACAGCCCCGATGTCCCTGTTTTCAAGGACACGACAATGAGAGGAAAGGAAAGGTCCTTCGGGAGCCGATTACTCGTCAAGTCCCGCCACTAGTTGAACGCTCGGTTCTATCGACCTGACGAGTAACCATCCAACACGCATGGGTAGGACCCTGAGCGCACAAGTGCACATTGGTGCCAACGTGGGAACACCCCTGCAGACAGCAACTCATGCCGTCAGCTCGCTACTAGTGTATCGTAGTCCAGACTGCGAATCAGGATCTGACGACTGTCGCGGATGATCAAACTACCGATTTTACACTAAACTGTGGGAATAACCAACGCATTCGAAGAATGTCGTGCGCCAACGGGATTCCAGCCATGAAACTGGCAGCTATGAACGCTTACAGTGGTGTACACTACCATCGCCAACTACTTAGTTCCACCATTCTTCCGAATCCCTTCCGCTAGCAGCATCCTCGACGGCATCTTCCGCATCACGCGCCTCGTACCCTGCTCAGCATCCTTAGATCATTTACGTACCATGTATACTCCTTTGCCTCTCGGCTTGTCAACTATCAGCATGTGCCCCCGTTTGCCTCCTCGCTTAACCCCCAAGAAGTCACATCACAGCAGCCCGAGAACCCGCCTCTCTCACCTCTTCATATGTTTCCAAACCCACAGGCGATCACGTTTTACTTGACTCCCTCATAAGGAGCTTCGTCTCAGATTTCCAAAAAAAAAAAAAAAAAAAAAAAAAAAAAAAACCCACAGACACGGCTGGATTGGTAATTATGGGCCACCGAGCCCCGATCTTACGATCCCTTGCGTCAAGTTGACTGGGTTGGTGACGTTATTCACAAAGTAACAACGGAGGAGACGGAGATAATGACGGGCGTGCCGCAATTCGATTAGGGCATATTCTACATAGGATGGGGCACAGCACACTGGCACGGGCGTGTGAATGCCGGCATAACGTTTGCTCTTTCACGGTTTTCCTTTGTCATCAAAGTGATGAATACCTCCAGTCAAACCAGATGCGCTTTTTTAACGATGAGTATGCCATCAAGGTGTCAATGAAAAAACGATAGGTTCTTTCATGTTATAGACATATCGGGTCTGGATGGAGCAGGAATTGTGTCGTTTATGTAGGAAAGTTTTGATAGCGAAGCTCTTCTGAACGATGGATGGCCTTTGTAAAGTGGAATATGTCAGTTATCACGATGAGTGTGCCGTTTGCTATGCTCACTCGAGTCGCTTTTAAGATTCAATCTCATTTTCGTGCAGTGATGGTGCTGATCAACATCTTTCATTATTACTCCATCTTCTATCCTGATGATACTGTGAGCTGCCAATCTCAACATTTCACCATCTAGCCTTCTTACACCAATAACCCAAAACATCCCCCGGAAAGGAACCGCGACAACGCTCGCTCGCTCGTTCAATTCACCAAGCAACAGCCACCTTTCACTGCCCATCTCCCGACCGTCTCCCTCCAACCTCCTTCTACAACTTCCCCTCCCTCTTCCTTCTCTCCCTAACACTCTGCATACTCCTCAACAACGCATAAACCCCTTGCAACCTCGGCATCTCCACCCCCCGTCCCCTCGCAATCCTCACCGGATTACCCACGATAACCTCCAACTCCAACGGCCTTCCCGCCTCCCAATCCAACAACATACTCGGCTTGGAACCCACATTTCTCTCCGTTGACTTTAGAATCTTCTCCGGCGTCGCGAACCCTTTGGGATCCTTTTCGAACCCTTCTCCCTTGGGCAGACCCAGAATCAAAGGCGCAGCATCCCAGATTTCGTACATGATGGCTGACAAGAAGAGGCGGAGCTCGGGGTCCCGAACCATGTCGGCGTTGCCGATACCGCCGGATAGTACGGAGCACGGGTTGAAGGCGGCGTTGATGCAGAGTTTGTGCCACCGGATGAGCTGGAGGTGAGATTCGGAAGAGAGATGGGCGTCGCGGACTGAACCAAGGTGGACGAGGTAAGAGGTGAGGCGGGATGCCAGGTCATAGCCCCTTTGTTGGAGGGCAAGGTCGGAATCGGTGAGTTTGTGGTGAGATGGCGCGGATGAAGAGGGGGAAGGAGAAGGGGAGGAGCCGGTGGGTGTTAGATTGCCCGTCGATTCAACGTTGGGAGTGGTAGTGACAAAAGGGGGGGCTTCATCACGGTCTTTGGTAATAGGTGTGCTAGAATCAAAGCTAGCCGAGTTGGAGTACGGACCAAGATGGATGCGCGTCCATCGGTTCTGTCGGATGACTCCCTGACTGATTTGTTCGGCGGAAACGACGGTGACGGCGCTGATGATGGGCGTTGAGGGAAAACGGGTGCGGTACGGTGCTTCGACGCCGACGCCGTTTTGGATCAGGACGATGCACGAGTTGGGACCGATGAGTGGGGCGATGAGCGCCGAGTCGTCACCGCGGTCCGGAAGGGCTTTGGTGGTTACGACGACGTAGTCCCATTGCTGAACAGGAGCAGAGGCGGCGGCGGCGACGTTGGGGAAGACGGCGTGAGGGGTGAAGGTGTAGTCGCCGAAGGAGTGGGTTTGGAGTTTGACGCCGTTGTCTAGGAGGGCTTTGTAATTGGAACGGGCGATAAGGGAGACGTGGATGTTTTTGGAGGGCTGGTAGAGGTGTCAGTACCTATATATGCTCTGGGCAATGGGGACGAAGGATGAGTCAGGATGGATGATGAGAAACGAGGCCATTTTTGTTTTCGCTTCACCCTTGACTTATCAGAAATAAAGTAAACAAATAGGGAGGAACCTACGTGATGCAGCCTCGAGGCATAGAAACAACCGACGGCACCAGCTCCTACAAAGACAATATGGACGGGTCTGCATGATTGTCAGTTTGGAGTTCGGTAATGAAAGTTTCAACAAGTGCACCTACTTGTCCGGGTCAGGATATTGCTTGATAGCTTCGGGCATGGTGGCGGTTGTGAAACCGAAGGCAGCAACTCTGGAGGAACGAGAAACTGAAGCTATCTAGTGTACAGGGGTTTTGGCGTCTGCTCTCTTCAAGATGCTTGGTAACTGAACTTGAAATTCTCAACCGCCTGGAGTCAATTGATATCCCAAACCCACTTCCTATCGATCAGTTGCCGGCGATATTTAACTCTCACGGTGAATGATGGTGTTGGTGTAAACGGTCACGGGCAGTCTGACCTCGGCTCAGCATTTGTTTGTCGTTGGTCCCCTTCAATGACACCATCGGCAACTGTCATTGTGCGGAGAAGACGGCAGCTGCGAAAGCGGAGTTTGGGCACCACCACATTTTGCTTGGCAGGCACCATCCCACAGTTAACCCCCGGAGACCTAGCACCCTGGTCTAACCCTGGTTTAACAACACACCATTTTCCCCACACCTAACCCTCACAAGCATGGGACGGCATCGCGTCCAATCTTCACCACTGGTCGGCAACCTCCTCTCCAACACATGCACACAATCACACGCAGTTTTCAACCTTCCACTTTGCAACAAACGTCACACTGTTGCCTTTTACAGTATGGGTCTCATGCCCCTTTTTATCTCTCGGCCACGGCTCCAAGCTACATCATACGACGAAGCTTTCCTGTTCCTTACAGCATGCATACATATCCCGTGGATCCGCGACATGGAATTCATGCAAGTAATCTTCAGCATGGCAACCCACTCACTCACTTCCCCGGATTACGTATACCGGAACGTCGGGTCGCGACCCGAGAACAAGAGTCATTTGACGGAGACAAACGACGAGTTATTCTTTAAAATATTTAGGGACTTTGACGAAAGCTGATGTTGCGAGGACTGTGAAGCTTGTTTTAGCAACGAAAATACAGCGACCGAGTGGTAGGTCTGTCTGCTTTTGGATGTTACCATAGCATTCAGACCGGTTATCCACCGCTGTGGTGGATGAACAGGTGTCGAAGGCGGCTCTGCTTCGGTCGTCCTTGTCCTCATTTTTGAACTCGGAATCATTCCTGATCGCCTAGATTAACAGCGCAAAGTGGTCTCATAGACTCTGTCTGAGACATACCCAGGTGTCATTTTCCCTGACATGCTATAAAGTTCTAACCGTCTGCTGAGATGCGCCTACTTCACTTTATATCATACAGGGTACGGCAGATCTGAGACAGGGTTGGTGATCTCCCAGGAATGTTTGGGATGCTTCGAAGTACCTACATATTGAAGCTTTGCATGTTGTCTTCTCTTCACACGTAACAAGGGGGTTACGACAATGGAGAGTCCGAGCATGACTTGATCAATCTCACTACAAATGAGATTTGAACTTCAGTTGCAAGGTCACGAAGATTGCGTAAACTTGAGGACTCATATCGATGGTGGATGTTTCTGTTGTGTACATGCCTACTACCTGTCTGATATTCGTCGCACCGATCTTGAGCAGATGGGAACATTTGATCCTGAAACGGACGTCGCAATCAACCATGGATATGGAAAAGTATCAGTGTGAAGTGGATCCAAAGCAAAGACTCAATGGAAAATACATCTATTGTCTAAGACTTGGCAGTAACATCAAGACGAAAGATGCGTGTAATGTATTCGATTTGATGAAACCTGAGCTGACAAATGTGGAGGTCCCATACGTGCCTCACGTCTCACAAGTCGGCAAGCCAGCCGGACTGGAACAACAAGGGGTCCAAAAAGGAAGTACGGCAACGCCGTGTGTAAGCCGCAGTGTAATTGAGATAGAACAGAGAGTAAGTGGGATGTGGATATACACTGAGGAGGCAGTGGAATAAAAGTAACAATCCATAGACAGCGGTGATACGTGCTCCTCTTCGTTTCCCTGCCCCTGCGCCGTTCAGAGGACAACCAGACTCCTAACCACAGAGACAGTTATTGAATGATGTTGACAAACACATGGAGGGATACACGGGAACCGCGCTTGTATCTCCTCCCAGTCCCGTCTGATAACCTCCCATACACCCAACATCACCATGAGTTCTAGAAACCCGTTTGTTTTTGTGTCCCTATCTGTAACCTTTCTCTGCCCTTTGCGCCCAGAAAACGGTAACTCAAGGTGTAACAGAACGCCGTGCCCCCCGTTTCTTCTTTTCCTCGAAGCCTTACACAGCGTAACCCACAACCCACAACACAACCACAACCTGTCGTCCATGCCATGCCCGTGTACCATGCATGCCTTTTGCCGGCAGTCCTACTATCGCCCTACCCAGATCCCCCCCCCAAAAATGACGATCGCCCCTTGCCAATTTGGCGTATATTGATCGGGCAGACAGGTTGGGGATCGGACTGTTCACATCTCTCACCTGAATCTGAGTTCGGCCGTACCGCACTGCACCGCACCGTAACGACTAAAAAGAGAAAGGCTCCGGAGACGGGAACCAGCGCCGCCGGCACCGGAAGTGACACAACGTGCTGCTGTTCAGTATGTAGTGGTGGATGAAGGATTGCCGAACTCCGAGAGAAGATTGAGTTTGTGTTTCCATCTTTCCATACTTCAAAAAAGAGAAGCTGCGGTGTATAACCGTCTCTTGGGTAGATGACCGTGGACCGCAGGGCATGGCTATCTACCTGACCGGCCACCGGCCGGGTATCGGCGGACAGTGACAATACGGTGTTGACATTAAGACGCTAGCTGTGGTAAGCTAACGAGAGAGGACTATAAGAAATGTGATGAAATAGTTTTGACTTCACTTGAGGCTTGCATGATAGTCTGTGACGTACCCACTCTGGCCTCTCAGCAATGTCTTCTAGTTTAGTTCCGACCGGTCCAAGTACAAACAAGTCGCCAGCCGTCCTAATCCGCTACCAATGCCGAACGAGCGCGGTGAGGTAGGTGAGGTATGTGCCGTCCATCTGGTCCCGCCTGGACAAGTCAACATCCGCCCCTCCATGACAATGAAAATGACGTGACACAGAAATAGAACATTGGTAGGCACACGCATGACATACGGGCGTGGCAGGCGTAGCATGGCGAGTGCAGGACGGGTACACACGGCGGAATGTCCGTCCAACATGAAATCGGTAAGCCGAGTCTCTCGAAGTGTGAGATAATGGTAGTGGGTTCTTTGATTGATGGGAAAGGGGCTAGATGGGCTGGATGGGAGATGTGGTGCCTGTGGAGGGTACATGCGTTCCGGGAACAATGACTTCCAGAACATTCAGCATGTTGCATGACGTCTACGAAGAGCATAGCTGGGAATGGTGTGGGTAGTGCAACTGAAAGGGTGTGTAGTTGAGACAGCACAGAGGTAGATAAACAGATGTAACCATTGAAAAGCCCAATGGAACAAACTGCGGGCGATTTCTAAGTAGCTTATCTCAATTGTCACCATCAGCACCGATACCGGTATAAGCCCGTTACCTGTGGCCAGGGGAAAAAAAAAAAACATCCTGCACGTTTACGTGGGTGAGGGGAGAAAAAGGTGTTATGAACGAGAGACAATTGAGGGGGACACACCACCACAGCTCCCAATCGAATGAGTGGTTGATGATGCTGACTACCTTTCCCCTTTGCCCGGTTGACGAACCATGAAAGGCACCAGTCGGCGAACATCTAGATCGGCGAGATATGTTCCCCTCTCAACTTCACCAGAAGAACAAAGGGTATCATGAAATACACAACAGACATTGTTGCTTGAGGTATTAGAATGTAACCTCCACTGATTCCCGGATATCATGTGAAGCTCAAGACGAGACGGTCAACACGGGCGCCCAGCATTGGGTTTGAAATATGTCAATCTAGCCATTAAGCTTGGACATCAACGTCAACCAGTTGAGACGTGGATATGTAGATGAACACGTAAAGCGAACACCTTGCTTGGCAAAAAAAGGTGGAGGGTAGGTAAGTCACATTGCATAATAGCAAGGTGATGTGATGACCCACCACATTTGCAATAACACCGTCAATGATCGCAGCCGCGCTGATGGATGGGGGAATGGAAAAGAATGGGAAGGATGGGAGTACCAAAGCGCGTTGACGGCCCTCGCCGCATCGCGCCTTGCAAAAGGTGATGAGGTGTCCTAACGTGGAGGTGCGATGTCATGTTCGGGAGCTCTCGAGGGGGCTCTCATGAACCTGTGTGATGCTGAGCCAAGCCGTCCCTGCAGCAGCAGCTCACCTCGACATCTCCTTTCAGCCTGCCCCCTTCAATCTTCCTGCGCCTCGCTCAGCTATAACGAGCTACGAACAGGGCTTGACGGATAATCGCCAGCAGTCTGTCACAAGGCTTGGGGGAGGACGAGGCAGGAGAGAGCTAAATGAACTTTGGTGAACGCCGCGCATGGCCCGAACCTGGTGTTGCACTCTGCCATAATGAAAAAGAGGACGTAGAAAGGAAGAGGGAAAGCGAGAGGGAATCAATGAGCCAAGCGGCTTAGCTCATGGTCGTGCAACTTTTTGTCGCTTGCGGCTTGCGTGTCTCGGTAGACGGCGAGGCCGGAGGGCCGGTGTAGCTTGCCAATCCCGTGGTAGCACCACTGCAAGACATGAAAATATTCTGCGATGCAATCGTCAAGAAAGCAGCAGCATGATCAAGTTCATGATCGGGATCGATTGATTGGCGTCGTGGGGTTGGCAGAGGGAGGAAGAGATAGGCAAAGAAATTGAAAGAAAATCGACAAGACTGATTTGGTTGCGGGGAGGAAAATTGAGTTGTTGTCAAACGTGGGGGTTTTATGAGGGGTGAAAATTCAGGTGGATGGAAAATGGACGCAAAGGTGGTGAAGAGAGGCACAAGTGGCCTGTCGCAGTGCCGCTAGGCTCTGTTGAGGGAAGCTTTGATGAACGCGGGCTCCACCGTAAATACATGTGGATGGTGGCCCGGGCTCGAGCTTCTGTTCCCTTACCCCACTCTTCTCCAACCACGACATGAACTTGGGATTTCCACCGTGATGCCACCACCTCCATCACGGCATCATGGCTGGCCAGTGATAAGACAGAGAAGAAGCCATTGATTTTGGAATTGAACTCCTACTAATACTCTTTGTCCGCTGCAGCCGTCTCTAGCGTGCACGTCATGCTTCGAAGAATGAGAATAACGTCATCTTGAGGGCCAACCACCATGAAGGTGTCGACCGACAAATCAGTTCAGAAGCTTGCCGCAGGAGCCCCTTTTGGTTTTCCTCTCTTGTCCCCTTGTGGTTCATCATGGAGTGGTGTCTGAAGGTTTCGTGTTTGAATCGGGAGAGGGTGCAGAAGAGGAGACGAGAGCTCTCCCCGCTCCCTTTGACCCGGTAAGCCGAGACGAACCCTTGAAAATCTGGGTAGATCATTGCAGCAACGACATCAACAACTTCGGCCTTGGCTTCTTCGTCAAGGCTCGATGTGAGGCGTCGGGTCGACAAGCGCCGACGAGGGTGTGAACCTGAGCTCGCCGAGGGGTCATAGGCACACTCTGATCTGTCATCTGGCTAAATAGAACGGAAATGGCACATGTGTATCGAATCTTGCCGTCCTCCCATCATTTGTCCTCTCCGCATCGCCTCGAACTTGTGAACCCCGAAAACGAAAGCATATGGCTTGGAGAGAGTGCGGAGTATGGGATGGGGACCGGTTCTTCTAGAACAATTGCAGAAAACGACAGTGTATCAGCCGGTTGGTTGCACAACCCGATTGCCTTGTGATCACCCGTCCAATTTCTGGCATCCTATATAGCATATCAGTGAGATGACACTGCCCAGCAATAAAGGGTACACACTTACCTTGTCAAACGCGTACAGCACTTTCAACCTGTGCTCACTCAGACAGCAACACAGACGAAGCAACATCAACAGATACAGCATATTTGGCACTTCCGACAGTCCGATGCGGAAGAAGCATACATGGTTTTGGACCCCCGGGAATGGCATATTAGAACTATGTAAGGTTTGCATAGTGTCAGAAGGTCATCTCGGCACGATCGTTCCTATCGAAACACGCTGCTGCCGAGCCCACTTTGGACCCGAAGCGTGTCCTCTGTGTCGAACCTGTAAACCGTTATAAACGAATCCTCCATGAGACGTGATATGTCATTTTACTGCTTCCATCAATCTGAGGTCAGGCGGTCGGTGAAGTCTGACATTTCACATGATGTCTAGATGATGCTGGCATTTGTACCAAGAAAAAAACAAGGTTGAGCCTGGCGAGTACTACTCGACTGTCAATTACTGATGCGCCGTGTGACACTTGATCCTTCATGAGGGCAGTGAAACAGCGAGCACCGGCAGTGGTTCAACGAACCCAGATGGACAGACTCGTGATGTAGGAGCTGAGCTGACTAGAGACGGTAGGAAAATCCCCAGCTTGTCATCAGCAAGGACCGAGTGGATAGTAGGACGATTGAAGTGAATTAGGAGGATAAATCCGCATTCGCCTTGGCTACTTCTTGGGCGAATGTGAGGTGTGAGCCGGCTGGCCGGTAAAACTGCTTTAGGAGAAGGCGGACTGACCCGACAAATCATGGATTACGTATTTGCACAGGGCTTCTGCATGACCTCCTTCTAAGAGTAGCAACTTCGAGACAACATGAAAACAGAATGCAAGGTGCACCCGCAAACCTTTGCGACCATGAGAACGGAGTTCTTGTTACCTCAAGACTGAAATGGTCCACGTTTGTTTGTCCGATTTTCAAGTTGATTCTCTTCGTTCCATCCGCGGTGTGTTCTACACTACAGTCGGCCATGTCCCGGCGAATTTTGTCAGCATGGTGGTCGATACCCCTGTTGTTGCCGATCTGGGGGACTCTGGAGAAGTCGGCCCCTTTTGATGCGGCTTGGTGGAGACCATCTAGCGTATTTAGGCACCCTAACATGCAGCTTTCTCATTAACCCGTAGCGGGCGGCAAAGAAATGATGAGGCTGTATCATGGACCTGTGTCAGGTCGTATGGAATCTGTCAACCCCCTGGATGACCATTAAGAAGCTTGGGATCCGTAAGGTTGTGGTTGTGTTTTATGCTGCAACCGGGCCGAGGTATCGGGGATGCCTGATAAAAATACGGAAACCCTTGTACGGTGTTCCTTAAGAGGTATCGTTAGGCTCTGCCTTGATCGGTCGCAGAAGTTCCAATTTGTGTGGTTGGTTTCGCTTGATGTCGATATACTTGCTACCTCTACAGTAAGATGGTGGAGTTGCACGTACATTAGCGACCGCTGCAGCGCGGTCCGGCTGTTGCCAGGGATCCAACCTGTATCCGCAAATTGTATGTCGGCCCTCTCCTCTTCGACCTGCTTGAGTAAGACAATTCGTGAGAGTATCATGAAAGTCCTGAAAACGTGGGATATGTCGTATGCTTCAGCACCGCCTGTTGGTCATTGTCAAAAGGCTGGGGTGTCCCTTTCTACAAGACCAGATGCTTCACCCGGACCGTACAGACGAATATCTTTCTGGCAAACGAACGACTTGGGACTCAAACCCGCCAAGTCATCCAGGTATGGATCTTGGTCTCTTCAAACACAGATATTACACAGTGAGACATTCCGAGGCCAGATGATGTTGTGGATACTTCAAGTTGTGAGCGGCGGAGATTCGGCGATGGCCCCACCAATGGACTTGCAGAGCTGCCCGTCGATACCGTTAAGGTTGTGGGATGTGCGTTGTGGAGGAGGTGTTGGTTTGGATTGCTCTAATCCGATCAGCCAGCATGGGCCGTTGTTGGGCCCAAAGGAGAGTAGGGATTCTTTAGCGTGGAATTGGGCAAGCGAGGAGGAGGACACCCCAGGGTAATTGGTTACAGGCCTAGCGTAGCCAGTTACCTTATACAAGACCAGGTTAAAAGACGGGCCCAATTCGGCGGTTTCGTTGATGCATGTGCTCATTTAAGCTGCAATCATTCTCGCCAGCCTTCTTTGCGCTCTCTCGGATACGCGACCGAGCGGTTACGGCAAACGTAAAGGCAGAGGGACTCGAGGCTTTCATGTTGTCCATGTTGCCTGATGTCTCACTGCCTCGGTAAGCAGGGAGGCAGGGTGGCTTTCTCTTGTAGCAAAGACCACAGGGGGAGGCCGGACGTGGGGAGGATCGATGCAACAAGCCCGTAATTGAAAGTGACGATGGAAAAGGCCGGGTGCCCTGGAAGAGCCCGGATGGGAAGGCTGAGTGGGCGCGCTTGTCGTGGGAGGTGCGCAACAAAGTAAGATTTTAAGCGAGTGCTTCTGTTGTTGATGGAACCTGTTTCATTGCGTGATGACAAGGTCGCTTCCGTCGATGCGAATCGATGGCTTGCAGTGCAAAATGGGGCCGGGCAGAGCACGGGGAACAGTGGAACGACTCAGAACACATCTCCATAGTACCCACTAAGATGCCTGCCCTGGGCACCCGGCGACGACCGGAGATAGAAGTGGAAGTATCAACCACTATCGTCCACTATACTGCGGTACATCCGGGTATTCTTTCCTCCATAGGCTTGCTCCCGTCATTACCTCTACACGTGCACTTCGGCCCTCCTTCCATTTCCTCACAAAGAGTGTCCCGAGTCAGGAAGGAGCCGAGTTTGGGGTTCATCGTACCTGCCAAGGCTACCTTACCTTCGAACCATCTCATCATCGCCCTCAGCTTCAGAAAGACTGAACCAGCTAGGGCCGACAGTACACTAGCATGAGAGGAAGCAACGTTTCGACTTCTGTGAGGTGGTGTAGTAATCCAGGTTCCCCACGCTCACCTCATCACCGATCTGTGGAAACCCCTAACATCGAATTCGGGGTCAAGCTGCGTAGAATGCGACTGATAGCAAGACACGAATAGGGGTCCAATCAAGACAGGTTGCATGAGACCAGAATGGGGTGGGATGAAGCACGGATGGCAGGCGACATTAATGATGCTGAATTCAGGAAATGGCTGCCAGGGCTTGCGGTTTCCATCCCGCTCTGCTCCGAACCTGCCACATGGCGCCTGCCAACAGCGTTCACAGGAGGAATGCCCGACACTTCCTGATGCTGGGTCATGACGGATACAACGAAGGCTCGAGGTTGTGATTGCCTTGTCTCAAGGACATCCCAAAGGCCCTTCTCGTCTCGGTCTTTCCAGCCCGGTTCTTTCCTATGTCGCCGCTTATATTGCCTTCAGCTCTTGTTAGAGTTATGTGTCTCCCGCTACTCCTCCCCCCGTCTATCGAGAAGAATTGTCTTGTAATAGACTTACAGGTGATATCTCACTGACAGACGGGAGCTCGTGCCTTGAAGCGTGCAGTGTAAATTCATCCGCCGGGGCAACCTCCCATGCCTACGGTACCATTTGGGGCTCCGTGTAGTACCTCTAGGTTGCAACGCGATGCCGACTTTGCCTACAACTAACCTGACCCCCCTCCCCAACAGGCAGGACACCATAGGCCACCTAGGATGGAGTTGAAGCTTAGGTACCTCTGCAACCTGGGTACATTATTCATAGGTAGGTACCTTGAGCCCGGAGCTTTGTGCCTCATGCGAGCACCAGAGTCACTGCGACTTCCTCTGCAATCTGTGCAGCTGCGGTCAAAGGTTCAACGAAACCCGCCCACCACACCGGGCACCGGACTGCACCTGCTCCCTCAGCATCCCGATCTGGCAGCTCCCATTTCGTCACTGCACCCCGGGCTCGCCTGGTGTTCCCGGCTTGGGGTCTTGCTTTCTTCCAATTGCTCAATGATCATTCCGGCTTTGATCTGTTCCATCCTGTCTCCCATGTTCTGCAACATAATTGCTAGCCTTATTACGACCATAGCCCACCCCAGGCGGACGCCCATCCCCCAATGCCCACAAATGGACAACGGGATGCAGTGCCAGTCTGCCAGTGACTGCACGCAGTGAGTGATGGATGGTTCATCAGCAGCACGGGAAGCAGGCCCTGGACGGCGAGTTGGCAGCTCGAGGTATCCATTTATCATGATCTCTCTTCGGCCGCTCCTACCTATCCCGCCGTGGCCCATGCCTTTTTCTAGGTAAAAGTGGCATTCCCCGAGCCCCCCATATCCTCATGGCGGGTGTTGGAGGGGACAGGGAGACCTTAAAAAGACCGGACCACCCTCTTGCCCGTCGGCCGCCGACCATGGGATATGGCGCCTTACTAGCTCATCTCTTTTCTACTCTCACGTCCTTCTCTTTGCCCCTTTGCTTGTCCCAATGAGAGCGGCGTCCCTCCTCACCTCACCTTGGCGGTTAAGACACCTCTCCGACGTACAGACCTACCTAGCTTGATCTTGTCTGGAAACCAGGAAATGTGCTTGACCCCGTCGCCCGGCTGCCGCAATATCTCGATCGACTGGAACGTCCACTCGAGCAAGTCTTCAGCCAGACAAGCTGTCACTGCCGAGCCGCCGACCCGGAGATCTTGAGCTGGGAAAATTACATTGATAGATACCGTACGTCTATCTTACTACGCGAATACAGTCAGCAATCTTCACCCCACCCCGACTCCAGTCTCCGGGTTAGTCTCCAGGTTGGATTCCCAACAGTGCAGCTCAGCCGAGATCCTACCCCCCCCAGGCCCGGAGTACAAGGCAAGCCTTCCCGACACCATCCCGTGAGGTTGCAGCAAGATTGCAGGCAAGCAGTGGTGTCCCATGTTCTGCGAGCCCCACTTACGCCCGCCAATTTCCAGTCGGTCCCCGTTGGTCGTTGGAGTCCCCGGTCTAGCAACCCCCCAGGCCCCGTCCCAAGAGCCACCACAGCCAGGGCCTCGTCACCAACCTTTCCGCCCACCGTACTAGCTTACCGTCGCCGCCCACCGTCGCTCTCGCGCCCGCGACTTACACACGAACTTTGGCCAAATCTCCACTTCAAGCCCACATTGCCTGGTCCTGTCTGCCATCTTTATATGCTTGTTGCGAGGGCGGCTTTGTTCACCGGAGTCATCGGCACTTTTGCTTTCCCAACTCTTTTTTTTTGGTCTCATTGCCACCTGTTTCCCGTCGACCTATATACCCGCACGCACGGGCATGAGCATTTGAGAGTTTGCGTATTTCGACATCTTTGTTTTTCCCACTCTAGACATTTTTTTTACCAGGTGTCCACCCCCTGAAGCGAAGGCTTACATCAGTGCACTGGACCACCCCAATCATAGAGGGCACATTACCCGGGAGTCTCGACCGCACCTAGAGGTACATCAACCGCCTGCAACCGTACCTTACCATCGATAGCTTCGATCGAGTCTGCACGCGTTGCCCCTGAGCAGCAAAACACCGACAAACATACAGTTCCGAGTCCCAGCTCCAGCGCAATAAGTCCAGGGAGTCGAGTCGCAGATACAGGACGCGAAAGTACTGGCCCGTGATCCCGCCACCAGTCACATAACCAGTTTTGAGGAAGAAGAAAAAAAAGTTTGGCAATAGGGTTCTTGTGCTAGGAACCAAGCTCCGATCCCGCAGCAGCGTCACCGCACCACGTCAGCGATTTCTAGATATTCCAACCCACCCTAGTTCCCATTGCTAGATCCAGCATTCTCGAGGCCTGAAGTCTGAGGTCCGATCGCCAGCATCACCTTTAACATCACATCCGAAAGCTTCAACGACCATGCTCATCAACGGTGAAAAGTGGGCTTGCGAGGCCTGTGTGAGGGGTCATCGTGTGAGCAACTGCCAACACCACGGTGAGTAACTCCATATTGCCGAGTTCGCATTACATTCCGCTAGTCCTACCACTTGATCCATACTGCACTGCACTGCACTGGAAGGTCGGCTTGAAAGGCAAGGGCGGGAGAGTAGGTTTTGGGTGGTGCTGGAACCTGGTTCCAAGGCGAGACAACCTGCCTTTTCTGAAGCCCCCAGATCGCTGAACCGTGAGCAACCGTGGACACCGTGGGCACTCGGATTAGGACATCGTGAGACAATGGGACCGAGAGAAGCATTGAGGAGAAGGAGGGCCATTTCTGGTCAACGAAGGTGCAGCTCATGCAATTGGCTTGGCGGTGTCTATCCAATCGTCTTGATATCGGTTCTTTTACGTGGGGAATTGTGCTAATTTTGCGCGGTGCGGCTGCAGATCGTCCACTCCAGCACATCAACAAAAAGGGGCGGCCGGTTTCGCAATGTCAGCACTGTCGGTCCATGCGCAAGTATCGCGCCTCGCACGTCAAGTGCGACTGCGGTGAAAAGACGAGCAAGTGTATTCACTTGCAAGTAACGGTCGAGGGTCACAAGGGTGAGCATCCAGTCTTCGCTGTGCCGGGTTGATGAGGCTGTGCTTTGTCTGACTCTCATATCGTCTACTTGCAGAAAGCTGCTGTTGCAACCATGGCGGTCGCTGTACCTGCTGCCATAAGAAGGAGCATCCTCAGCTCGAGACCGTCCCCGAGTCTGACTCGGACAAAAGCTGCTCTTCCGTATCGCGAAGCTGCTCAAAGTCCGCTTCCCGCAGCAGGCGCAGGGCTAACACAACCAACTCGGATGCCATGCTCTCTTTCGACGCCAACGGCCATCACAAGCCCACGTACAAGCATACCAAGCCCTCGCAGAAGTGCGGTCCTTACACGCTCAGCAGGGGTAACTCCATGCATAGCACCACCTCAAGCCTGGGAGCTCGCTCCGTCGATAACTTGGACGTCAGCGGCAGTGGCCTTGCCATGCAGCGTGGAGCACAGTCCGAGTCCGCCTCGCCACTTATGACGGGCTCTTCGACGTTTGCCCAGCTCAACGGACAGCTCCCTCCTTTGGATCTTTCCAGCATCAAGTACACCCCATATGTCCCCAACAGCGCAGACTTCTTTGGCAGTCTCTCCGACAATGATCAGCCCCTGTTCAGCGCCGGTTTGAGCGCTACCTCTGTTGATTGGAGCCACTACGAGGGTCTCGACTTGGGCAACAAGTCGGTGGACTTTGCTCCGTCCAGCTATGACCAGGCGCAAAGCTACGGCTCCTTCGATTACTACGGATCTGAGTCGCTTTCCACCTTGACCA